TTCCAATGAAGTAACTACCTTTCATTTACTACCCTTCAAAAAAAAAAAATCTTTTAGTGCTTAAATCGGTATGTGTAACTGGAAATAAAAAAGCAAAGTTATTGTTTAGTAGCATATGTTAGCATACTTTTTTTTTTTAAGTTTTGCTCAATACCTTTCTAAGGGCTTTACTGGCTTTACATAATTAGGAAAAGAATTTTATCTTCAGCTTTAGCTTTTTTCCTTACAGAATAATAATAATTTCTGTAACTAAAAAACTAGTTAACTTCTCTAAACAGGAGAAATAGCATTTTATACTTGCTGTAATGTATTTGGTAGCAATGCAGCTACAGAATAATACTTTTGTGGCCAAATGTTAAAGATATTACTGACCAAGCTGGCTTTTGCATCAAGAACTACTTATTCATTCCACCTTCTTTCTGCTCTAAAATATGGATAAGCATCAAGTTAATCTGCAACTAATCTAGCTAAAAAGGAAACAAAACAAAAGTCAACAGCCTCTGTTCACTGACTGCTGTGCTTACTTTGGCTGAATCATCTCAATTGGGCACGTTATATCATTTTAGCATCTGGGGACTTAGCAGAGAAATACACAGCAAGAGAACAATGTTTCAGTTCTCTTGCCAGAGTTGCTTCACTTTGTTCTTTGGCCAAGATTAGAAAATGTTTATGATATTTAGGTGGAGCAGTTCCTCTGAAAAGATAATTTTTATGGCCAAAAGTGCCACCCACTGAGCAGGATAATGAAGGAAATCATGTCCCACTTACGATCTGGGGGAAGGGACTATGAAGAAGCAATTATTAATCTAACCTAGAGAGAAGAACAGATATGATGACTGTTACCATGAAGGTAAATGTGCTGGGAGACACATAGTTCTGGGTAAGGACTTAAGAAACTTCACTCTGAATATGTAGAGGGTGACCTAAATCACAGCTAACCCTTATCTTCCTTAGCAAATAGAGATTCTGAGGTGAAATTGAAACTCTGATTCCTGTTTCAGTATGCACCAGGCTATGCATGCTACTTTAGCAGCTGATAACTGTCAGAGTGATTTGTTAACACACATACACCCTCACTGTGCTGAAGCAGAGGCAAACTTGACTGAAAATGGAGGCTTGAGACAAAACTGAAGAACAAGTAACACTAATGGCAGAAATGCTGCCATTTAATTTCTCTGCCACACTCAGCGCTAGCTCTTATTTTTTGTTTCAATTTAATCTCAGTAAAAGCTTTTAGTACTTCCTCACCTTCTCTCCCCACCCTTGGAATCCTTTAAAAGAAAGCTAGTTCAGCAAGTAGGAATTTCCAATCATCTCTTTTGTTTCCTTAATCTTCTCTAAGTGGACTAACCTTCCTTTTCGTTACCATATTCTGCTTCCCCTTTTATGAATATGTTCCTCTCCCAATGTCACTGATTTAGCTGCCTGTATAGTTATCCTATTCATCGGTGATTCTGACACTGTATATTTATAAATCAAACCATCAGTCACATTCAACTCTCATTTCCAGCTGTCTGACAACTTTTAGACTCTGAATATGTGAATATAAATCATACAATATAAAATCAAATAGTTATGAATTGGATCATTAGCACTGGCTTCCCCTGGCTAATCTAATTTGTGCCACTGAAGAGGACAGTGGCATTGTCTCTGCCAAAAAGACGACTGTCTGAAATCTAGAAAAACGACAGCATCTTAACCAATAGTTAAAACTGAGAGTTAAGGTTATGATAAGCCTTGAAGTAAGACATGTATATGTATATTTGAGCAATGAATAGTCAGCAGTCGTAAACGGCTCTGTGAGCACTCCTCTGTACTAAGCTGTACAGTTGACTGTTCTGTTACTAGATGTCACAAAGGAGTGCATGGGGGAGGTGCTTTACAGAAAGATGATTATGTACAGTGAAAGCTCTGTGAACTAACAACCATATCCAAAGGGCAATTCCTTGTCTTAAATGGATGCTTTTAAAGCATTGCTCGGGTTGCAAATACAATTTACTTTGACCTTTAGTTAAAGGCCCACCTCTACAAGACAACTGATTTTTAGAGCTTGTGTGGTTTCTTAAGACAGATATTGTTGTATTGCAATTTTAAAACCTAACTTTCTAACCTTAATGTATTTTTCCACAGGTGTCACAGGTCGAACCTGAAGATGTTCTGGAAGCTGTATCTTGGGCTTTGTATTTTCTTTCTTTTCATCTTCAATCAACTAAAACCAAAACATCAACATTAAAAATTGGACTCTTTATCTTTTGAAATGTGCTGTAATATCTGATATCTACACCATTCCCCTCATTGTTACATCTGAACTCCTTGTTTTTTCCATCTAAAACAGGACTACTTACTGTAGTGCTTTGGAAATTATTGTAATGTACTTTTTGGTTTCAGAAAGTGATGTAATTCTGAATTTCAGATGAAAGGCTAAATATTGCTGAGTGATTCCAACTCTCTTAACTACATCACTGGTCCAAAAAGGGCTAGAAATACATCTTATATGACCACAAAACAAAGATTAATAAATGCTAAATACACATGTTCACCAATAGTGACAATGCATAGTTTGTCAACTTTTCGGCTGTGGATCTATTAGTACTGTGCAAAGGTGGTATGCGTGACAGACCATAGTTATCAAGGATGGATGTTGAAGCCTAGAGGACGAAAGTTTTTGGAGGTGCTAACTTAGATGCCTACAGGAATCTTCAAAAAATCCTAGAACAGATTAAGTACTTCTAGCCCCATGGAAAGTACATTTATAAATATTCAGGGGCTGCATCAATCCTGTTCTTTAGCAACGAAATACTGTGAGTCCAAATGTAACACTACGTGCTACTATATTCTAATATCTAAACATCATTGAGAATAGACATCTCTCCAAATATTTTCATTTGTTGTAAATTCCCCCACTGAAAATTTAATTAGCTAGAACCTTTTCCCCTTGATTTTTAAACTACCATATGGATAGACAAAGGGGAAATATTTTCCTGTCAGTGTGCATCTAGTACTTGTTAACACTATTGGGAGGCATGTTTCTCAAGAGAAATATATCAGAATATGCATAGCATATAAATTACCACTTGCCATATTTTATTCAGAGAAAAACTGGAACTTTGAACCCATCTTAAAAGTAGTGCACTTGTTACCTCGGAACCTAGCTTTGTAAAGCATATTCAGTACTTTTCTAGTCTTCTGTGATCTCAGAATTTTGTGTCCAGATAAATTTGTGTACAAGTAAATTTCATGTGTTGCTTCTATGCCATTCAATTTTACCTCCTCAGGAGGTGTTTTCAAGAATCCCCATTTGTGAGACCATCTTCTTGCAGCTTCTAGTTCACTTTCAATGTATTTTTTCCTGAAACAGAGAATTATTTAAGATGACTTTGAAAGCTTTCATAAAAAAAAAAAAAAAAAAACAAAACGAAACACAAACCCAACAGCAGTTACAAAGCAGAAGCATGAATCTTTAGACCTTTACCTGAAAACAGCAAGTTAGCAATTGTCTGACTTGGAGGTAATGGGGAAATATTTTCTGTAGGTTGGAAATGAAACAGTAGGTGTGAATGCACTTCCTTGCAAATTATGTTTATGTTAGGAATCGGAGGAGGTCGAATTTGCTATGACACATTTTTTGAAAAACTTGAAAAGTTTTTGAAATCTCCTTTCACACATACTTGCATTTAGTGTTGACTGACGAAACGACCCTTTGCCCCGGCCCTGCTCCCCGTCCCTCAGCCCCGGGGGGCGGATGGAGGAGACGCTGGAGGACATGGGCAGCGCTGGCTGCCTCGGGTCTGTCACTCACTGCTCCGCCTGTCCAACTCAGGGCTATGCCACTTGAGGGTCCTAAAAACCTCGGGCTTTTTGCAGGTGGCAGGCTTCTGCGTGAGCACACACGCTTTACAAACACAGATGAAGCGAACATACGATCAAATTCCTTCAGCCTCCGCCCCCCTGAAAGCGGGCGCTGAGCGCGGAGCTGCCGGGGGAGGCTGCCTTGGGCGGGAGGGGAAGGAGGCGGCCGGAGAGAAGCAACAGTGCAGGCCCGGGGCCGTCGGCTGCGAGGGGAGGGCTGGGGCCGTTACCAGCAGTTGTCCCGCGCTACGAAGTTGCAGGGCTGCGCCAGGTCGGTGCGCCGGTGCGC